TTGGGGGAGAGGGAGGGAATTGGGAGGCGGTGGCGGGGAGGAGGCAGAAATCTTAAATAAATAAATAAATAAATACATAAATAAATAAATAATAAAAAGATAAAGCAGTTCTACAATGACTCTTGAGCACTGGAGGGATTGAGTCATGTTAGTACGTATGTCTGGAGGCATGACTGGCAACATCTGGCTCCGGACACTTTGTCTTTCTCTGTGAGTTTTACACCCAGGTTCCAGTTTATATAAACCTGCCAAATGCCAAGAGGCACTGGGTGAAGTGAATGAAGTCAACAAAAATTCTTTACCCTTCACGTGTGAATGCCATCTAAAAGAAGGCATGGGTTGTGCACTTATACTATGTGGTGAAAAAGGCTATTCAGAGAAAAGTAAAGCCCAGCTATCTTCTGTAAAATCGATGGGCCATCTTCTGGGGTGGGGTGGCGCATTGGATGGCCATTCCTGTAGCTCCTGTGCATCCCTCCTATCCCCTTATCAGGAGAGGTCCAGATGGTGTAAGCAGCATGAACGTCTGCGGGTGAACAGTCAGCACTGGCTGGGTGAGCATTCTCTCTCTAATTGATTTGTTTGTCTGTTCGTTTGTTTTGAGGCAGGGTTTCTTTATGTAGCCCTGCCTGTCCTGGAACTCACTCTGTAGATCAGGCTGGCCTTAGACTCAGAGATCTGCCTGCCTCTGGAGTGTTAGGATTAAAAATGTGCACCACTATTGCCTGACCCTTTATTGGTTTTGTTTTGTTGATTTTCTTGAAACAGTGTAGTTGGTTGTTTTTTTGTTTGCTTCCTTTTTTTTTTTACTTTTCTTACTCTTTGCTCTTTGGGGGCCCACCACTGAACTCCCAAATAAATACACAGAGGTTTATACTTTCTTGTGTTTGCCTGACCTTAGCTTGGCTTGTTTCTAGACAGCTTTTTTTAACTTTAATTATCCTGTCTACCCTTTGTCTCTTGGCTTTTATCTGTCTCTATTCTGTGTGCTTTTCTTTGCTTCTTACTCCATGGCTTGCTGTGTAGCTGGGCAACTGGCCCATGATGGCCTTACCCCCTTTTCCTTTTCTTGCTCCTTTCTCTCCTCCCAGATTTCTCCTCCTATTTATTCTTTCTGCTTCCAGCACTGCCTACCCTTTCTCCTGCCTTGGTATTGGCCTTTCAGCTCTTTATTGGACCAATCAGATATTCTAGGCAGTCACAATAACACAGTTTCACAGTTAAACAAATGCAACATAAAAGAATACAGCAATCTTTGCATCATTAAACAAATATCTCACAGCCTAACAAATGGAACACATCCTCAGCTAATATTCTACAAGACAGAGCCTGACTCTGTAGCACAGACTTGTCCCAAATTTACAGCAATCCTCTTGCCTCAGTCTCCCCAGTGCTGTGATTATAGGCATGCACCACCACATCCAAACTTCACCTTATTATTAATCCACAAAAGGGAAAATCAGGCCTGAGTAGAGCAGTGGACAGATTTCAGACAAAGGGAGGAGGCAGAACATTGGATTCCTGGAGCTGTAGATATAACACAGGTACTGGGATTAAACTTGGCTCCTCCAGGAGACCTCATCTGAGCTAAGCCATCTCTCTAGCCCAAGGACAGTTTTAAGCTTTACCATGACGATAATGGTGAGCCAGGATGGGTTGTACTGGCCATCAAGAGTCTAGAGTTCCGGTGTCTGGTGCAGAGGATGGACAGGAGGTGGTGGCAGTGGTGATGCTCCATGGAGTCAGTTGTAGCAGGGCAGAGCAATTAGCTAGTGTGGTTCTGAGGAGTGGGGAGAAGTTGGGGAGAGCATGGATGTGGTGGTTTGAATGAAAATAACCCCCACAAACTCATAGGGAGTGGCATAATTGGAGGTATGGCCTTGTTGGAGTAGGTGTGGCCTTGTTGAAGGAAGTATGTCACAGGAAGTGGGCTTTGAGTTATCAAAAGCTAAAGCCAGACCCAATGTTACTCTCTCTTTCTGCTACCTATAGTCAGATATAAAACTCTCAGCTACCTCTCCAGCACCATGTCTGCCTGGTGGCACCATGCTTCCTGGTGTAATGATAATGGACTAAACCTCTGAACTATAAACCAGACTCAACTAAATGTTTTCTTTTATAAGAGTTGCCATGGTCATGGAGACTCTTCACAGCAGTAGAAATCCAAAGACAATGGAAGTTTAATGACTAAAATCTATCTAGAAAGACCAAACATGTGACTGTAAATTCGTCCTGAGCACCCTGAGTAACAGTGTGAAGTCATCTTCCTCCCACAAAGGCAGGGTCTTTGGACACAGCTGTCTGTGCACAGCTGAGGTGGCACGCGTTGCAGACTGGGAGCACTGATGGGGTGAGGGATGATTTGTGACTGCTGTCCCCAGAGGAGGATCCCAATTAATCCTTTCCTACTCTGAGGCTCAGGGCTGGGTGCTGAGGAAGAAGACCCTGGGGTGTCTAGTTCCAGGAGAGAGCACTCCTCATAGCACCAGCCTGGTCCTGGCGGGCTTGTTAGTACCTGCAGAGCCTCTGGGACAGCAGCTCCAGGGACCCCAGAATAGGAGAACGTGTATCTCAGCCCCTCCCTTCTTCGGCAGACAGGGATGGGAGAGCCTATCCTGGCCACGGTGAGTTACATTCTGGCTGCAGAAGTCACTTGCCCAGCCCCACCTTCGGGTGAGACCTAAAAAGCAGTGGAGGGAGGGAAATTGTTTAGATTGCCTGAACAATGGCAGCCTTCCATGGATCTTGTGTCAAAGGTGTTTAACTCCAGTTTTGAGTTGAGTTTGTGGTGTCCAGGAAATCTGCAATGTGCTCAGAAGGGAACGAGAGGAGCCCCCTCCAGCTCTGAACACTGCGGACACAGAACCCTGGTGCATGGGTGGTGGTGAGACAAGGAGATGAGTGGGCTTGGGAATGTGGGGCTCCCTGCTCATGCAAGCCAGAGCTTCCTGGGCACACAGACACACACATTCAGAATCTTGTAGAGTGAGAGCTGGAAGCAACAGGGGCAGGGGCCTCCAGCCTTAGGGTTTTCTGATGAGAAGAAATAGAAGGAGGGACCAGACCCTGTCACTGGCATTGCTGGCTCTCTGCCCTCACACACTACTCAGGAAGGACCCTCATCCTCTGGCTGTCACAGTGGGAACAACACTGTCAGGTCCCTGAACTCAGCACGCACAGATAAGCCCTGAAGGCAAATACTGTTCTGGGACCTTCAGTGGGCATAGATTTCATGGGTTCCAAGTGAGCAGGTGAGTACTGCTGGTCCCATCAAGTAAGTCCTTGGACCAGCCAGGGACTAAGATGTGGGAACAGGGAACTAAACAGGTTCACGAAAAATCCAACCCCAGGTCCTCTGCTATTGCAGAGTAGGGTCCAGTCACAGGAGGGTTTTTTTTTGCCTTTCCTGCAGCTTTTTTAGTTGGGGACCTGGTTCCAGCATTACCTGACAGATTTCACTGTTAACTGTGAGTTCATAGGACTCATTTCTGAGTTCACAGGTGAGGCTTAGAAGGGCATAACAGCTGCCTAGTGTCTCACTATGGCCAATCTCAGCAACTATATTTCCTACCCACCAGACAAGCCTCCTCCTAGGACCTTCATTGCATGCTGATTTGGGGTACCAGAAGGCATTAGAAGAGGGCTTGGTGGCCCTGAATTTTTACTTTCTCTCGGCTAAACATTTTTAGTTGTCAAAATGATGGTAACTTGAGTTCTGTGTTTGAGGCTGGTTTACCAGCTGATCATGAAGATGCATCTTAACGAAAGGCCTTAGAATACTGATAGTATGGCCACAGACAGGACTTCCTGTTCTTCTTGGTCTTTGGTTTGGGAACTTGGTCACAGCACTATCCTTCCACTGTGAGTTCATAGGATGAGGCTCAAAGGGAAACAGCCTGCTTCCCAGGAGTCATCTTGACCCTTGCGAGGGACATTGAAACCCAGAGTTACTAGGCTTAGGAGCTGCAGCTCAGCGTTCCCAATGTTCCTGTCTATCAGAGCATACAATTTCTGTTCTAGGTAATACTCATTGTTTCCTAGGTAACGACTCTCCCATCTGTGAAGACGAGCAAGCAAAGCTTGACATACTGTGCTAAATTCACTCCTATGCTGAGTATATGGCGAGGGAAGTTTTCTTTCTAAGACTCTTCCTTAAGCTAGATGCCTAGGAGGGTATCTGGGAAGAGCCAGTGGGAACGCACAGAAGAGCTTTCCTCTATAGTATGGTTTTCAACCTTCCTAATGCTGCCACCTTTTAATACAGTTCCTCGTGTTGTGGTGACTCCTAACCATAAAATTACTTTGCTGCTATGTCACAACTGTAATTTTGCTACTGATATGAATCATAAGTATCTGATATGCAGGATATCTGATAAATGGTTGTTTGACCTCAAAGTGGTCACGACCCACAGGTTGAGAACAACTGCTCTATATGATAACCATCATTTGGTAGTCTGTCAGCTAGCCCTGGGCTTGGTGCCAAGAGCCATACTCTCAGAAGCTGGGAGGTGTATGCAGCTCCAGCACTTGGTGGTTAGGAAGATTGCAAGTTCTAGGCCAGCTTGGACAGCATAGTGAGAACCTTCTTTAAAAGAAGCTATCGCCTCACTTGGATATTTTGGTTTTCCTTTGTTCTCAAATATCTTCTTCCTGATTCTTTGATCTCGTGATTTGCTGGTTAAGGCCTGTGCTTGAGTAGTTCACACCTTTGATTAGATGCTGGATCGACTGAAAAGCTTCATTGCAATGCTTTTTGAAGAAATGTATTGTTTTTATTTTATGTTTATTTTATTAAATGTTTGCCTGTGTGGACATGCAACATGACCTGCAGCTGCTTGCACAGGTTGGAAAGGATGTCATGTTCCCTAGAATTGGAGTTTGCAGACTTGTGGTTGTGAGCTGCCATGTGGGTGCTGGGACTCTGAATCCAGGTTCTCTGAACCTAGGAGTGGAAATGCTGGGTTATGAAAACTGTGAAGTCAGAAGTCAGCTTCTAAGGTCTAGCTCTCTTGTTTTTCTTGCATTACTCTCTCATGGGATTGACCTTTCTTCCTTATAGATTTTGGAAATTTGCGTTTTCCATTTTGTCTTGATGCTTAATATTCTCTTGGGAGTTAGAATGTCATTGTTAGTCTCTGGAATGTGGACCCAGGCACTGCTAGTGACCTATTTTCTCCTGACCTATTATTCCTCCTTTCCTTCCTTCCTTCCTTGCTTCCCTCCCTCCGTCCCTTCCTCTCTCCCTCCCTCTCTCCCCTTCTCTCTCTCTCTTTTTTCTTTCTTTCTTTCTTTCTTTCTTTCTTTCTTTCTTTCTTGTGATGCAGGGTCTCATTATGTAGCTCTGGCTGACATAGAACTCACTATTTTTTTGTATGTGCACATGCATGCTACAGCACCCTTGTGGAGGGCAGAGGACAGCTCGTGGCCATTGATTCTCTCCTTACACCACGTGGATCCTGGGGGTATCAAACAGGGTCACTGGGCTTGCCTGCAGTAGCCTTTTTCATCTGAACCATCACACAAGTGCCGCCTTGTCTATCAGTCTTTGCCTGCCTTTTCCTCCCCCTTTCTCCACTCTCCTCTGTTCCTCTGGGACAGTGTTCACTCTATAGCCAGGCTGCCTTAAGCTCACCATCCTTCTGTCTCAGAATGCTGGAATTATAGGTGTGATCCTCTACACTCAACCAATGCCTCATTTTTCAAAGTGGGGTGGCAGTGGTGGTGGAACACTCTTCTTTTCTTCCCTCCTCTCTTTTTGCGTCTCCCTTTCCTCTCCACATAACTCAGGCTGATATGGAACTCAAGGTCCTTCCCAACTCTCCATCGCACAGCTGCTGGGGTTACCATCATGCACCAAGACACCATGCCTGCTTTTGTTTCTGGAGATTTCTAGTTAGGTTTTTTTTTCCCCTCATAGCATGAATTTCTTGGCTGGGGGTACTCACTGGAGTTTCTCCTGAGTTGAAATCCTTTTAGTTTTTATTAGCATGTGTTAATTGTACAAAGGAAAGGCTTCATTGTATTTCCATACATGCATATTTTTCATGCCTTTTATTACTTTCCATGTCCCTGTCCTGTCTACACCTTTTCCTCTTTCTCTTCTTCCAGGCTGGGCTTGAACTTGTGGTTCAGACCCATTCTTTCCTCTCCTCCCAGGTCTTGGGATTCCAGGTATGTGTCATCACACCTGGCTTTGTCCTTTTAGTTTTATTTGTGTTTTATTAGGAATTAACAAATGACAGTCTGAGAGCCAAACTTGTGCCTCCGACTATTTGTGTTAATAAAGTTTTATTGGGCCTGGCACAGTGATGCACACATTTCAATCCCAGCACTTGGTAGACAAAGGCAGGCAGCTCTCTATGAATTTAAAGCTAGCTTGGTTTGCATAACAGGTTCCAAGGCAGCCAAGGCTACATAGTGAGACCCTGTCTTAAAAAAATGCAAAAAATTGACAGGCGGGGCTGTTACACAGAGAAACCCTGTCTCAAAAAGAAAAAAAGAAGGAAAGAGAGAGAGAGAAAGAAAGAAAGAAAGAAAGAAAGAAAGAAAGAAAGAAAGAAAGAAAGAAAAGTAGCTTGTCTCTGATCTCAAGCGAGCACATTTTTATTGTTTTGCATTCCTTTTGTTTCTTTTACCTGAGTGCTAACAATGGGAGCTCAGGCCCTCGCACACGCCCATCAATGCACTTACCCATCCAACCATCTTCCCAGCTACAGCACGTTTTTTAGTTCTTTGAATTAGGTTGAAAAGTTTCTTTCCAAAGTGAAAAATGTCATTTAACATTCCAAATATTTAAATGGAAAGCCTTAACTCCCATCATCCCGCTTTGCTAGTGGATGTTTTCAAGTGCATAGCTGGTTATGGTTTTGAGCTCCTGTGAGGGCTGCAGGCTTGCAGATGTCCAGAAACACTGCTAGATTAACTGGAAGGCAGAAAGGGCAGGCCTCTCCTGATCCCCATGGCCTCCTCCAGGGACTCAGTGGGGAATGATGGCTCTCTAATGGAATTCACTCACCACCTGTTTCCACTCCCCACATGGGGAGGGGTGGTACCCAGGGCCTTGAGCTGGCTGGGTAAGTGATCTAGCTTTCGGCCATATCCCCAGCTCTAATGAATATTTTTAATTAGAAAAATGAATGTGTGTGTGTGAGAGAGACAGAGAGAGAGAGAGAGAGAGAGAGAGAGAGAGAGAGAGAGAGAGAGAGAGAGAG